TATAGACAAACTGTTTACTTTGTATAGCTTTCAGCAGTTACTATAGACAAACTGTTTACTTTGTTTAGCTTTCAGCAGTTACTATAGACAAACTGTTTACTTTGTTTAGCTTTCAGCAGTTACTATAGACAAACTGTATACTTTGTATAGTTTTCAGCAGTTTCTATAGACAAACTGTTTACTTTGTATAGTTTTCAGTAGTTACTATAGACAAACTGTATACTTTGTATAGCTTTCAGCAGTTACTATAGACAAACTGTTTACTTTGTATAGCTTTCAGCAGTTATTATAGACAAACTGTTTACTTTGTTTAGCTTTCAGCAGTTACTATAGAAAAACTGTTTACTTTGTATAGTTTTAAGTAGTTACTATAGACAAACTGTATACTTTGTATAGCTTTCAGCAGTTACTATAGACAAACTGTTTACTTTGTATAGTTTTCAGCAGTTACCATAGAGAAACTGTATACTTTGTATAGTTTTCAGCAGTTTCTAACATAACTGTTAAATAGCTGATTCCTTTCTCCTTTCTTTGTTTACGTTATAGGGTCATTGATGGCTGTTGACCATATGTCCCCGACAGTTGCCGAATATTTGTAGTTGGAATTTATTCTAGTAAAGGTTTACAAAAATAAAAAAATTCGTAAATACTATCTGTAGTAGCCAAATACGTAAATGTATGACGCATTTAAAAATTAATCTAGAATTTTGCTCGAGAACTGACATTAACATATTCTGTTCGATTGTTTAAGACACCATTGAGCTGAAAATATATCCAAGACTGGCATTTTCGTGAGACTGTTGAATTAATGACCCAGAAATGTTGCCCTATGTCCCGTCGACAAAATAGCTTTCACAAGCCAATCAAACAGTTAAATAAGCGGGGGAGAGATCATGCTTCATAACGGTATAACATTTCGCTTAATTTCATTCACATAAAAGAAATTCGAATATTAATAATTCGAAAATTTAGAAACAATCCAAATTTTTGTTAAACGAATATAATGCACTTTCTTTAGTGAGATGCCAAGTATTGAAAGCAGCGACCGTCAACAATTTGCAAAGACCAGTACTGATCCACGCATTGTTAATACTTTGTAGTATGAAATGTTTTAAGAATTGAGTAGAAATATATATAAACTTTATTCATTTTACAACAAATATGTTTTACACAACACTCTTATCTCTTTTTTTGTTTGGTTTCACGTTTGATTTATTTCGGGGCTCGATAGAACCAGGATGTTGTGATTAAAGAACTTTGTAAGTGTGAAGTATACAGTGTATAGCATTTACGGCTCACTCCTTAGAGTGCCTCAAGTTGTGTGTCCGACATTAGTTGATAAAAAATTAAAGTTGAATGATCATGCAAGTGCTGCGATTGGTCAGTTTACTTAATAACAACTCTGACCAATAGAGTTAGTACAGAACATGAAACACACAAAACACAAAATGTAACACCGGGTTACATATGAAACAAGTCATTGCAACTAATAGTAGTCACTCTTGATGGCCCAGATGTTAGTGCGCGGGGTGTTAACAAGGGAGGAGACCGGGGTACCCGGAGAAAACTAGCGTGAGAAGAAATGTGGTCTTCATAAAGCCGTAATAGATATATATAGATATACTAAGTCAGCGTCTATCGACTGAGTAAACGACTTTAGGTGGCTATCGTGAGAGTTGGTAGTCGAGAAAAACAACACAAAAGAGCTAATATTGACTGGACATAGTTCGTCAGCATAATGAGCTAGTCATGGCTAGGCTAGGGGGTTGTCGTCTTCATGCAGAGCTTGTCGTAACAAGATACCACATTTTAAGCAAGGGGCATACCTCAAGTAACTAGACGCCGCCATCTTGGAATTCAGCATTTATTTTGGTCACGTGTTCATGAGCGCTTTAAATCTAACTCCTCCTACCTTCACCTTCGGGGTATACGAAAGCAAGCAACCCGTGAAAAAATGAAACATAAAATATCTCTAGTGCCATCCGAGAGTATC